TCTTGTCCCATGCCAGGGCAATGCCATGTCCCTGTTTCACAGGAAAGAATGACAGTTCTTTACCCATCTCAGAACTGCTCTGTGAAAACAAGGAAAAGGCAACTTTGAGTACATTGTGCAGTACATGTTTCTAGAGCCTATAAAGAAATATAGGCTGTTAGTTCAAAGCTTCCAGTGAAAATGTATTTGCAAGGTAAGTGTCCAGGTATGCATTCAGCCAGTATCCCTCACCCTGTATGTTCCTTATGCCCTTGTTAACTGCATTAAAACTACTTAGAAAAAAACAAAAAAAAAAAACTGCAAAAAAAGGACTTCTGTTTTGCAGCACAGGTACATAACCCTGATGGAGTAGGTACTGGACTCGCTGAATCTGGATTTTGAGTGAGGTTGTTTCCTTCATTGTTCAGTTGCAGGTACCCCCCATGTAAAATGCCATCAGTTGTCCCCAGGTCATCTTCTTTTACATGAGGAAAATTATTTGGGGAAGATCATTGTCTTCAAAGAGGTTAGTCAGAAGCCTGTACAGTTCAAAGTTACCTCTATTTTATCCCTTTGAATGCATTTTAAAAATAATTTTTTCCAGAGACTCTTTCATTACAAAAGCCATAAACTAGCTCTGACAACAAACCACGTGGAAGCAATGTGCAAAACTCAGATTTCTAGTGGAGGAGACTTTGCAAACAAGCCAATTAACTTTTCCTGCTGTGTCAGAGGGCTGTGAGTGCAGCAGCTCCAAGTGTGTGCATAAAGTTGTACCTCTATATAATGATTTAAAAAAATATTAATGTATGTAGCAATACACATAGACATGGCCACAGCACAGACACTTTTAGCAGATTAAAACATGTTTTTTCGTGCATTTTAAGTGAGCCCTTAGCTGTGCACAGGCACAGCCATATGGCTGTAGCCTATGTATGTACATAGCCTACACAGGCAGGGCTGACCAAAAGGCTGTGGTCTGTGGCATGAATGCACTCAGCAGAGTCCTTGTGGTGGGGAGCTAGAGGCTTCCTGATCTCTGTCTGACACTTCTGCATTCTGTTTGCTAGTTGACTTACTTTGCGTGGTTGGTTTTTTGCATCTTCCCTTTTTCTCATCTGTGTTGTAGCTCTGCATCTCAATTTTTCACAGGGTGCCTTTGGACATTGAGTCAGGAGACAATGATGTACATGTTCTCCCAGCCTGGAGAAGCTCTGCCACCCCATCCTCAGGAGCTTCCCCCCTGGGCTGTACTTTAAGCCACTCTGGGAAGATGAGAAAATGAGAATCTTTTATCAGCAATACCCACAGTCCCTGACTGAATTAAAATCTGTGGGAGAGGACCTGAACTTATACTGTGTTTTTCACCTGCAGACCACTGGACTACAAAATATGGGGGGAAGTTTGCTTAGCAGAAACCTGAATAAGGACATATTGTAGGGCTCCTCCCAGCTACTCCACTCTCCTGCATCATCCTGCCTCAAATGGAGCTTAAAATCTGCCAGGAGCAGCTTAAAATCTGCTGGTAACCAGAAAACAAATGAGGTGAGAGGTTTCACTGGAAGCCACCAGGGAGAATTTTTCTACACCACTGACACAGAGCTACCTGGCTCATGAGCAAGGGAGTCTGTGACAGCAAAGAAACCTATATGGTGAGGAAGGAAAAAGGACAAGCATCCCCTTTGGTGTATTACGCCACACCAAAAGAGTGTAGGCAGTGACAAATGGCATCCTGATCCTGGTGTCATGACTTTACTTGGTATTTGAGAGGGGGGATGTGTAGTTTTTTTCAAATATATATGTGGGTTTCTATTTTAGGTATATATGTTTTGTTACACAACCAGTTTATTCCCATTGTGAAAAAAAAAAAAAAAAAAAAAAAACACAGAAAGGGAAATGAAAGAAAACTATTCCTCCTTTGCCACACAAAAGTAGTATGTATTTCATATTTGTAAGTGTTGATCTAGCTGCTCTATAAACACAGGGGGCAATTTTTTCCCTTCCCTAAATATATAAATAAGTAAAATACATATCTTGTTCTATGTGGTGACTCCAATGAGGGCAGAGAATGCAGCTCCTTGAAGAAGCTGGAGAAGCTGTCTCCCAGCTGATGGGGGCTCCTGGGTCTTCGTGCAGGATCTCACAGCTGTCCATGGAATGGGGAAGCTGTAGATTTCAGAGAAAATGATGTTCCCTGAAGTGTGAAGGGGAAGGAGCAATGAAGAGCTGAAGGAGAGAGGTCAGGTAAGTCCCTGCTTAGCACTGCCTAAACCGTGGTTAGCGGTGCTAGGCAGGACAGACTGACAGGTGACGAAGGACTACGTGGTGTTTTATTTCTGCTGTACACCAGGTCTTCTGCTATTTCTGTTCTTTTTAAAGCAGGAATTACTTGAGGTTTAAAGCAGGAATTACTATGTGCAGTTTGGGATGTGTGGTGCAATTCCATCATGTTTGGCTGTGGAGTGGGAGGCCAGAGTCTGACTGAAAGATGGGGAGGAAACCATCATCTGGGGAGCCTGGGATACATCCTGATGCTTACTAAAGGAGCTATACACCAGTCTATAATCCATCTCCTCTCTGTTCATCTCTGTATACTTGTATGGAAGACTTCTCCTCTGGCTATCCACAGCCCTGAAAGCAGTAATTACACTTGTGGGTTGCTAATTCCCAGGTTATTTTTCTGGGAAATCAGCAGCAAAAAGCAGTAGGCCCACAAGGGGCAGGAGTTAAAGCAGTTAAGACCATGAATATGTGTGGTAGGTAGATTTGTCTGCTGCAGTGCTGGGACTGAGCAAGAAGCTTAATGACCTGCAAGTGATAAGGGGAATCTCTAGGGCCAGGAGTAGAAGTTGCTGAGCATGGCCCTGCTGGCCCAGTGCAATCAGCTACAGTTAAAAAAGAGAAAAGAGATATGTTTCCTTGATCTCTGCAAATTGTGACATAATTGCCTCTGGATATTTTAACATGGAAGTGTCAGGTTTTACAGGCTTCATTATCAGCAGGGCTTTCCCCCATCTGTTTGCTGACACTGGTGAGAGCCACAGATGGTTTATACCTGGGAAAGTCAAGGTCTTAGGTACAAGAACTGGGGGTTTTTTTCTGCATAAAATGAAAAATATTAAGCAAATGTCTTCTCTCTTTCTGGAAGGAAGAGAATGAGCTACTAGGGGTGGTAGTAGCTTTTCATTCTTTCTTTGCTCTTTCTGCCCCTTCCCAACACTGGATTACTCCCTGAGGGACTGGCTGCAAGGCAGCTACAGGTGTGAGGAATATGCCTTGGCTTGTGCAATAGCTTCATGGGACTAAGCTATTTTCCAGATGAGCTAGTGACAAAAAGGTAAATATATCTGAGAAGAGGGGAGATGCCCAACTGCTTTCTGGAATTACAGCTACTATGTATGACAAACTTTTTTCCCCTGGGGAAAAATCCCAACTTTGTAACGTTGGTATTACTCTAAATACTGCTATCTTGATGAATTCAATAGATGGCACAAATCTCTGTCTTGCTGTGGAGGAAATTTCAAAACTATTTACCTTTAGGTGTATTTACCTAAACACTGTAATTTTACAGTTGTTTTGTATAACTTGCTTGTGATTGTTTTGTGAGCTCATTCTATTAGGCTAATCCTCTCTTTCAGGGAGCCATCCACCCTCTATTTCCCATTTTGCAGAGAAAGCTTTGTAGTTTGGAACTGAATGAAACTAGCTCACAAACTGGATGGACTAAATTTCAAATCATCTCTAGCTTCAAATGATGCCAGCAACTGTGAGACAAACAGGGAGTCTGAGAAGAAAATGCACTATGGAGGTTCTGATCCATCAGTCCCTGACAGAGCTAAGAGTCCTCTGCTGTGCTAGTACAGGAATTCAGAGGTCAGTTTTCAGGGTCAGGGTATCTTTAAGAGAATAGAAATACCAGGAGGCTCTGAAGTCAAGGCAGAGGTGCATTACCCAGCAGCATTGTCAGGGGCCAGCCACAGATGGCTAAGGAAGATGGCTAAGAACAGAGAAAGAACACAGCCTCTCCTCTTGCCCCAGAGCTTTCCAGTTTCAGCTTTGGGAGTATCTACCTGCTGGCCCTTTTGATATGTTTTGTCTTCCACACAGGGCATTCAAAGTCTTGCTATATTTTGTTGCTTTATTTTCAGTGGAGGGATTTGAGGAAGTCCCAGGAGAGGACCATTGGTAGGGAGAAACGGGATCAGAAGAGCCTGACCTGTGGATGTTGAAAACACAGCATAACCAGCATCTCTCACTTCAGAAAAGTGCAGGCTTTTGAGTTGGGTGCTGTGTGGTCTTGCTGATGAGGCAGAAACATCAAATACTACCTAGAAGATGCTGCGGCTGCTCTGACTGCCAAAATTGTGGGTTTGGATTTTAAACAACGTAGCCTTGATTTGCAGAGCAGTTACCTTATCCTTATAAGAGAGTTGATCCAGATGTGTGCCACTGCTTTCTCTTCTTGCCAGCCCTTCCTTACCCAAAGACACACACCTTACAGAGAACAGAGACCCTTCTAAGGCAGGGTCTTTTGTAACCTTTACAATGTGCTTTCACTTCAAAACAGAACCCTATTTTGCTGAGTTAAACATGGGAATGGCTCTGTGACATCCTGGTTATCCTTTAAAAATTTGTGGTGACAACTGATGGATACCTGACCTTTCCCTTTTTCAGGTTGTGTTAGCAAATCTATAAATCATGTTGGACATTGCCTGATTTTAGGTTGGTGCTTTGCATAGCTCAAGGCTTGTGGCTGGTGTGTGATGTGTAACAACAGGCAGCTGAGGTTGTGACTTGTTCATCGTGTCACAAAGCAGTTTGTTTCTCTCAGTTTAACTCTGCCACATCCTCTTCAGGGCAGTGTACCACCACAGGGTTTTTTTGACTCATCTCTCTCATGAGGGGAGGGGGGTGGAGGCTTTGTCTGTAAGAAAAATCAGTTGCGTGTTAAGATCTCAGAAGCAGCAACGAAAAGAAACTCATGAACCATACAGCCGAACGCAGGGATGGAGTCTCCTGAACTGAGATAGTTCCCACTTTGCCGTTATATCTGGGCCCTTGGTGAGGACAGAGAAGGAGGGGAGCTCCAGGTACATCCCTGGTGTGCAGGAGCTGCCTTGGAATCGGCCCTCAGGACTGGGATCCCGTGGGAGCGCTGCCAGTGCTGAGGTCTCCCTGCTCACCCCAGAAGGAGAATCGGAGCACCAGAGCGCGCTGGAACTGCTGCTGCTCCCCTCCCAGGCTCGGGGGTGAGGAGGGCTCCTCTTGAGCCTGCCAAGTGAGTGGATCTCCCCCAGCCTCCGCTCTCCTTGGGATGAATCCGAGCGGGAAGAGTGGCACACGTATCGCGCGGTCTTGTGCCAGCCACCGCCACCGAGGCTGAGTAAAAAATTTAATTTATTTTAATGCAGCTGTTGAGGCATTTTAATTCCATCAAAGGCAATAACACAAGGCGAGCCACCGAGTATTCGTTTGCTACTTTTAAATGGGTTTGATTCATCTCTGCTTGGTTGTTCCTTTATGGATTTTGAGAGTTCCTTCTCGCTCAGAGGCACAACTGTTCAAGGGCTGTGAATTTTAAAAATTGCAGATTAAATTCTGCATTTCACACATGAATATTTAAACAGTCATATACGCTCTTCTTTCTGTAAGGTCCCATTTTTAATCATTAATGCCTGTTCTTTTGAGCAAATAAACCGCATATATGAAATTTGAATGCATTTAAAAAAAAAGATAGTTCTCTGGGACAAGTTCCAATATGACAATATTCTGTTATGAATATTTATGGACCCATCAAAATTGGTGAATACTGAATTTGCTACAGAAATTGTGGAAGGTTTGTTCTTTCTTTTACTTTCCTTTTGAAAGAGACTGAGAAATTCTTTGCAAATTGGGTCAAGTTCAGTACATAAGTTTGGTCAAAAATGTATATTTTAAATTTTTTTTTGTTAAAAAAATTAATTTTTAAAGATTCAAACTGTTTTGATTGAAAGCAACTTTTGCATGCATAATGTATCCAAATTGCAAAGAAAAAAAAATCCCAAAACTTCTGACAGCGCTGAATAAAATAAAACAAAACAAAATATTTCCTTTAAGGCAAAAGATTTTATGTGAATGAAAGTGAAATTTGAGATGTTTTTAATGTAAGAATTACATTGCTTGTTACACATTAGTAGCAGAATATCGATCAATGTGGTTGTTATTGGCATTTTTACCAGGTGGTAATGAAAGGTTTTCATCCAGATGCATCACAATTCTCTGTTACACTTGTGAGTAAAACAATTCTTTGAGGAAAACAATTCTGTTGAGGGTGGTGAGGCACTGGAACAGAAAAGTTGTGGATGCCCCATCCCTGGAAGTGTTCAGGGTCAGGCTGGATGGGGCTCTGAGCAACCTGGTCTGGTGGAAGTGCCCATGGCAGAGGGTTGGAACTGGGAGATTTTTAAGGTCCCTTCCAACCCAAACCACTCTGTGATTCAGTGACTTGAACATGCACTTGTATCGTGCTCTGTTAAGCAGAACACCATCCTTGCATTTGGCTCGTGCCTGTGGCAGCGTTTGTTCTTCCTGTGCCACACGTGTGGCAGTGTTGTGGCTTCTCTCCTCTACACCAGCCATCCTCTCGTGGTTTGTTTCACATTTAAAATGAAATCTTTGACTTGGGAATGAAAACATCATCGTGTCAGGATTTCCCATGGGATGGGAGCACAGTTTTCCAATCATCTCTAGCTGTGGGTGCCTGATTCAGAAAGTAAATTATTAAAGAGATAGAATTGGCAGCATTTATAAGACATGGTTTGTTAAAAGGCTTAGATAGTTGTAGAATAGCAGGAGTTGCTAGATCCCTTTTTAGTTCACCCTGCCTATGAAAGCAGGAAACAAACTCATGAGGTTTTGATCCCTTGCAACAGGAGGGCTGCTCTTTTTTGTTCTGCTCCAAAAGGGCAGTTACTCTTCAAGAAATTAAAAGCATGCAAAGGCTAGGAAGAATTTCTTTGCCAAATAGTGGATGAAGTCTAGATTCCGAGTGGTGCCAGATATCTAGGATTTTGAAAAATTGTTTGTAAACAGTAGCTTGTCTTGTTTTTTATTTTGTATTTTTTTTGTCTTTATTTTTGTAATTTTTTGTTTTACAACCTGGTTTTTGCTTTACTTTCTTCAGTGTAAGAGTGGCACTTGACATGGGGTCTTGTTTATAACTCCTGCTTTCTAAGGAAACAGGGGGTTTACTACATGTTCTCTTTGAAGGGATAAGAGCAACCATTTGTGACTACATGCCATTTTCTTTGCCTTCATTTTCTGCAGTGCTGATTCCTGCTGCTAAAGATGGCTCAGAAATGGGCAGTTCTGGCTGTGCTCCTTTTCTTGCCAATCAATCTGGTTGAAGGTAAGTGAGAAAGATCCAAAACTGCATGTAGCACTCTTGGGTACTCTGTATTTCCAACTTGCCAGAACATTGAAACTTCATAGTACACCAGAGCAAATTTTGCCTATTGTTTTGTGGGAATGGAAAGAATGTCACCTTGGCTGGCAAAATAATCGAGTGCCTTGCAGAGTGGCACAGAGTGATAAATCTGACAGGAATCCAAAACTGGTCATCTAAAGACACACCTGTTCAGCTGGGACAATGGCAGGAGAGCTATGATTTCTGGAATGTCTCTTACCAAACTTCTTCTCCAAGTGATGTTGGTTTTACCATGCCACACATGTGTGTTCCACAGCTATCCCAGGTTTTACTAGCACTTGAAGGAAGGCACCTAATTCAGGAACACAATAAATTTTTAAAAGTAGCTTCCTTCCCCTTAAGAGTGATTTTTGCCCTCCCCATCAATTTTTCAAAGCCTATATTAAAGTGATAGAAATTTGTTGCCTAAAGTAAAGGTGGGGGGGCTTGCAGCTTGTCAGCATCACTGCCCACAGCAAAAAGGCACCATCTCCACTGCATTTCCAAATTTCAGGAAGATGAGTCTGGAAGATGAATAATAATATGTACCTCAAGGCTTCCAGTACAGTCAGGAAGTATATTTTTAAGGGCGAGGAAGCCAAGAGTTTCCTGTGCTTTTACAATGGTTGTAGCACCTTTTTAATGTCTTTTATCATCTTATGCAGCTCACAACACGGTGAGTGTAGAGGTTGGCCATGAAGCTGTGCTGGATTGCCCCAACATCTCCAAGGTGCCTTTGCTGCTGGTGACGTGGAAGGGGAATTGCAGAAGTTGCTGCTGGTTGTCCTATAGAGGGGATCACAGTAAGACAAGCAGGCTGAACTGCAGTGAGAGGATCACGTGGAAATATTCACCTGTCAGTGACCCTGCGCTTCGTATTTACCCCGTGAGCCTCGGGGACGAGGGAATTTACACCTGTGAATTTGCCAACAGGGAAGGAAATTTTAACTTTTCCTCTTCTCTGACTGTGATAGGTAAGACTGCATCACTAAAATAAAAATTGAATTAGTCTATTTGCAACATAGGCAGGAACAAAAGGATATTAGGAAGCATAATGAATACGTCAAATCACCTTTTTCATATAGTCAGGTAAATTATATCTAGGTTTCCATAAAAAAGGGGAAGATTTTTTGTTTTTTGGCTATATTAGTTAAGCCATCTCAATATAACAAAAAAGAAATTAATTTTGCAACTCTGTAATTGCTATTTGTTTTCATTAGTTTGTTTTGGATTTGGGTTTTGGAGTATTTTTTGTTCTTCCCTGCAGAATCGTGCCTTTCTGATAAATGTTTAGGTGTTGTGTGAGCCTTTCCCTGTTTTGCCAAATGCAGAATATGAGTTGTTGGACTTCAAGCAGCATAGTTTTGCCTAATTCCTCTTTTATTTCCCTGCTACCTGATTTTTGATTCTACATATCCAAACTCCCAAATATTGTGCCTGAAGCTTCAGCAATCTGCCTTTTCATCAGTCAAGCTCTAAATCTTTATTGAATTCACCCCTCTCTGTCATCCCATCTCCTATTAATCTGTCATCACCTTTTGGCAAACAGGAGGAAGCAGTACTTTAGATGCAGCCAGCTAGTTTTTGAGGTGTCCACCTTGGACTTTTTGATGTATTGTTTTTCCTTTAAGATGTGCTAATATTTCAAATTATTTTAAAATCTCACGAATTGGTCATACAATCTAAAAAACACCACCTGTTTGTCAGTTTCTCAGTTGGTGATTTTATATTAAAAATTGAAATAGAAATATAAAATATGAATAGAAATAATGGTTGTGGCCTTTTAAAATTTCTTCTGCAGTCCCTCCTACGGTGACTCTGACCCATGACAAGAGCAGGGTGGCTGTGTGCCAGGCATCTGCAGGAAAGCCAGCTGCTGACATCTCCTGGATCCCTGCAAGCAATCACAGCTCCGAGGAAGAATTCCATCACCCCAATGGAACAGTGACCAGAGTGAGCTACTTTGGCTGGGCCGACAGCTCATTTCCCTCTGTCACCTGCCTGGTCACCCACGCAGCCATGAACCAGACTCTGGTCATGGATCTGAGATGTAAATAATGTTATTTTGTGGTTGCTTTTCATCATGTCTTGGACTCCTCTCTGCTGTTCTGTGCAGCTCTTCCCACTAAATGCCAGGGCTCTGGAACTAGGTTAGCGTGGTTATAAGGTGAAGTGTAGTGCATGTTGAGAGGTAAATTAATGATTTTGAAACCAAATGCTTTGTGGCACTGTATGGAGAAGCTTTCAGTGTATTTGTCATTCAATTCCTGTCCTGTTTTACAAGAATTCCTTATTCTGCTTTCAGTGGGTTCACTTTGGCTGGCTGCCAGGTGCTCTCCAAGCTGCTCTATTGCTCCCTCCTCTTCAACAAGACAGGGAAAAAATACAATGGCCAGCTCGTGGGTCAAGGGGAGGACAGGGAGAGATCATTCACCAATTACTGTCACAGACAAAAGACACTTGAGAGAAAGTTATTTCTTGCCACTCAAATCAGAGAGGATAGAGAGAAATAAGAAAGAATCTAAAAGCACCTTCCCCACAACATTTTGTCCAGCTTTTCCATAGTAGTGATGGTCTGGAGAAAATTTCCTTGGAGCATGCCTGTCTGTGACTCGCAAGTGTTCCAAAGGTAGTAAAGGCTAAAATTCAGCTTCTCTGTCTGTGATGGACCTGTTGGAAGTCTATCGCAGTAGGATTTGTAAGAACAGCTTAAGAAGTGCTCATACCACCAAAATATCTCCACTAGTAGAGGCATAAAGAACAGAAATCAGCATAAACCACTCATTAATAACAACATTTTGCAGGGATGGCTGCTCAGTTGTTCAGGGCTAGGAGTACTTGAAGAAAATGAGAATGTAAAGGCAGATGAGTTGAAAATGAAAATGTGTTTGTGCACACAAATGACTGGGAGTATGAGGCAGCTTCTTATTGCTGATGGGCATCCAGACATCTCATCTGTTTCTCTCTGCTTTGTTTGGAATCAGAGGATTAGCTTTTTCTTCCAGATAAGGTAGGCAGTTATGTCACAAATTCATGGATACTGACATCTAGCTGTGTAACTTGCTCTCTTTTCTCATTGCTCAGACACCTCCCACAGGCTTCTCTACATCCTGACAGGAGCAGCTGCAGGTGTCCTTGCTGTCACTGGTGTGACTTTATCCTTGATTTTCAGGCGCAGAGGTGAGTCCTTTGAATCTGAAATATATTACAATCCCATTGCTGACTATGTGCAGGTATAGGGACATGCACTTTATTGCTGAGACTGAGGTGGGAGGCAAGAGTTGAGGAAGATGTTCATATATGCACAGTCCTTTTGGAGAAATCAAAATGAAATAAGGGGTAGCAATTTAAAGTAAGTCTGGAGTTTTGAAAGAGCCACAGGTATCGCGGTGCTAATGCATTACAGACATGTCAGGGGTTCATTCAGGATGAAAAGGGTTCTTTCTGAGAATAGGGCAGGCTTTGAGTTTTTAGAATTATTTTGTTTGTTCTGCATTTACTGGCACAAAGTTCTATACTAAAGAATTACAGTTAATAAACTAATGACTAAACACAAACTATCTTTGTTTCCATGAGCAGGGATAAGTTTTCCCTTGAGCAAATGTAAGAATAAGCCAAATGTACATACTCTGATATCTTTCATATAGATATGAAAGATATCAGAGTATATCTGATATATAGCTGGGCATATTAGATAGCTGATTTGTTTAAATTCTCATACTCAATGCAAAACACAGCTACTAAGAAGAAAATCAACTCCACCCCAGTAGAAACCAGGGCACCCAGCATGACCAAAAGTTTCAACAAAGGGAAAAATAAAACAAGAGCATGTTAAAGAGCAGGATGTAAAAAAATAAGAACATATGAGGGTAACTGTATTTTGAAGAAAATCTTTCAAGAGCTGGGGGCAGCTAGAGGAGAATCCCAGCTATAACAGCTGTGTACCCTGCACCTTCAAACCACTCAAACTTCTTGACATTCTCCTTTCAGCTTGCAGGTTACGTAAACGGGCACAGGGCCCAGCAGAACACTTTACAGTAAGTGGCTTTGTGTGTGTGTGCTTTGCAGGTTTTGGTGCATTCTTCACTAAAACTTGTAATTTCTTTGCAATTCTCTACTCTGACATACTCCCATACTGTGAGCACTTGGAGGGGGGATGAGGAACACATCATCTGTGAGAATGTCTGTTGTTTGGGTGGCCCTATCTTCATGTATAATCAGAGTATTTGAGCAATTGTTTAAGCACTGGATAGAGAGTGGTGTGGTGCATTTCCTGTCTACAAGTCACATTTACAATGCTGAATTTTAACTCTCCAAAAACGTAATATTTTCATATTTCTGCTTCACAGAGTAGTTTTTACTCAGATGTTTTATTTAAGAATGTGTATTCTTAATGGCAGAAGCCTGCCTGATTATTGATTGGATGGAACTAGATGTGCCTTTTACAATGAGGGGAAAAAGGTCCACTTTGTTTTGCTGCATTGGAGACAAACACAGCTATGAAACTTTTATTTTTATGTGGCAGTTCATATACTTGTAAGCCAGGAAACACCAGGGATAAATCTGCCACCACAACTTTTACTCACTCTCTAATTCCAGTGTATTGTGATATATTTAACAAAATGAAAATGTGCTGCTTTTCCTCAGGGCTTTTGCCTCACTTAAAGCACATGGAAAGACCAATTATTTCCTATTTTGTTTTCTGCTCATGATTTAATTAATGGTTGTGTGCCTTGTTTGTTGCAAACCAGTCAGAGTGCTCTGAAGTTAGAATGATTCATTTCCTGATATGCTCTTGTGTGGCATTCAGGACAATTTCATTGATGGGAGGGGAAGTTGCAGAGATCAAAGGCTTCCAGTGATTTTAGGTGCCTAAATTGGATTGTTTGTGGTCTGTCTGTTTTGTTTTCAGAGAAGCTAGCATTGTTCATCTATTTTGCTGTAGATACCAACATTTCAAAATTGGTTTTTGAAAAGACAATATTAAGAAAAAAGCAATATTAAGAAAAAAATTTCAGAGGCTGTCCTGTTGAGGCTTTGTGAAGACTGTTCTTGCATTTGTCTGCCAGCTCATGTTTCAGTCTCTGTGCTGTACCCTTTTGCTCAGAGAAAATCACTTCACATTTCTTTTGCAACAGTGATGTTACCCACCAGTTCTCTTCTGCTCTTTGCTTTTAGTTTGGGATCTATAGGAATGACAATCCCATGAATTCCACAATGTAATACAGTGGTACATGTTTTTCTTCCTGTTGCAGACTAGAGCCTGGAAGTTCCCACCTTCACGTGCAACAAGAGCAGCAGTCAAACCTCCTGACTTTCCAGAGAGCATCTATATGAATTACAGCCCAAGATCTATTTATGTGTGCTTATAAGAGTGCAGGCACAAGTAGCCAGCTCGGCTACTAATGATGCTCAGCTACTCAAACGTGTACATCAACTCTTAAGCCTCAGACCTTACCCCCAAAAATCTTTGTCTTTCCTCACCTGATGATGGTGGGGTAGAAAGGCCTGTTTTACTAAGTTTTTTTTCTCTTTCTCTAAATATCAGTACAGCTCTAGAGAAAGTTGGAAATTTTAAAAATTGGATTAGGGAAATACCTTAATTCTGTTAGAAAATGGACTCTGATGTATGTGCTGCCTTTCCTCAAAACAATAATGGACATATTTCTGTGCCAGAGTAAAAGACTGCTGGTATGTATGTGCTGCCTTTCCTCAAAACAATAATGGACATATTTCTGTGCCAGACTGCTGGTGAAAATGTAGCACTTTTCTTTCCATTCTGACAAGTGGATTCTCTTTAAAGTTCTGTGTTGGAAACTAGAAAGTGACATGGGAGATCTCAAAACACAGAAGGTCAAATCAATACATCTAACAGAAATGCAGAAATAAGAGAGTTTTAGGGTTTTTTGGTTGTTTTGTTTTCTGGTTGCAACGACAGATGATGATCTCGATTTGACATCTTTGTATTTTTAATATATTTCTTTTTCAACTAATCTTTCTGTTTGCATTGATAATTACTGGAAAATAAAGCCAATTTGATATTATACTGGATATGGAAATAAGAAACAGCAATGGACAATTTTGGACACTCTTTAATGTAAATATGCAAATATTTACCTGAAGAATTTTTGTGGTTATTTGGGTAAATGTTTTTTGACCAGTTTCTGAGAAGCTGAGATCACATCATAGTTTTACTGAGAACAGAAGTGTCAAGTTGTAGAAAGTGCAAGTGGTGTGCTTGTTTAAAACAAAGGAAGAAAAGACAACCCTAACCGCACCATTTATTTCTTTTCATCTTCATGTCCCCAAGATAAAAAAACCTCCACTAGTTGTTAATTTCAGTTTTCATTGGTCAGGTCTGTCAGAGCTTCCAAACACTAATGCAGCAGTAACTAAACTGAAATGTGTGTTTTGAAGAGTCTTTTCCTGCTTGTTTCTGCAGGGTCATCTCTGCTCCATAGGTGTTCTTAGGCATAAGCATCTCCCAGTGCCTTTTAACAGCACTTTATGACTTCTAAATAGACATGGATGTCTGCTGACATCACTCCAGCCTTTCATTTTAGTCAGAAAGGCATGAAGGATGACTCTCTGCCTTAAGGAAAAGGGGCTACAGAGGCCAGGCTTGGTGGACAAGTGAATCCTTCCCTGTGGTGTTGAATGTCAGTGACGGGTTGCTCTCACTCTGGTGTGCAGCATCATCGTGCCTTCTCTAGGAAGGGAGAGGCCCTTTTCATATGCAAAACCTCTGGGAGAAATAAGTGACAGCTCGGTAGTAGTGCAAATAGGTTTGAAATGATGCTAGGTAGGAAAAATGTTTAGCAGCTCCAGTGAAATCCGCAGCAGTGCCTCAGTCCAAGGTGCTGTTAAGGGGTCATTTGTGACTTGGAGCTTCTTGAAATAGAGGGAAGATCTGTTGTTGCCTAAGGAACTGCCCAGTCAAGTCTAAACCTGGGTTCCTGGGCTGGTGTTTCTCAGTGTGGTGAATGAGCATGGATTGTTTTTATGGACAGCTACAGCAATCTGTGCCTTTTTCAAAGCTGGATCATTGCAGCCACACCCAAGGATGACAGGGCTGTAAAAATTAAGAGAGTTAGCTGCGGAGCAGCCTGCTTCTGGGAATCACAGTGCATGTGTGCTGTGATCATTAGGGTGTAATGTAAGACCTTTTCTTAATTCCTTTGCCTCAAGTGACATGTTGAAGGGTGAGATGGAATGGAGACAGAAACATAGAACCTAGACAGGGAGATGATGGTGTATGGGGAGAAAGCTCTCTGAAGCTATCTGTGATAATTTGTCCTGGCTGAAAGCTATGGTTTTCAAACTCAATCTTTATTTTCACCTTTAATTTGTATTTGGTGGAATTGGCCCAGTCACCTGCAATGTGTCAGCACTTTTGTTAATGTAGAAATTCTGAGCAGACTTAGTGCTGAAACGAGGTGCTCTGGCAGTGACATGGGCTATCCTGGAATAAAATTGGCCCTTATGCTTTTTAGGCTTGTTGTGTATGATTAATAAAAGTTATCAGGCCAAAGAGAATAATGTGGCTATAGGGGTAGTTGTAAGAAAGGCTGGGACATCAATAAAGCTTTTATAGGTACTTTCACTGTTGGTTATGACTGGTGAAGGGCAGGGTTTTGTCATATGTGGAGCTCCTGGCGTGGGCTTTGGTGGCTTCCTCTTTGCCTGCCATGACCAGAGCCATGAGTGCTATGCTTTTTGGGCTGATGAGCTGATCTGTTGAGTATCTGAGAATGAGAAATAAATCACTTAAATATTTTATGTCATGCTGCTTTTGTATGGCATAGGCAGCTTGGTGTAACCCAAAGAACAACTCAAAATGTGTGTTTGGTGTCTTAAACAATTTGGTCTCAAAAATAAGCAACTCAAAATTTTTTTTGTATTTATCATGATTTCCCCTCCCTGAATAATTATGAGTACATTCTTGGTGACCCTATACTCTTTTTATTTGCACTGAAAGAAAATTTAATCAAGGCAGGTATTTTAGACTGCCAAAATGTGTTGGAAAATGCTGACTATTTGTTGAATAATCATTGTGAGAGAGCTACTAAAAAGTGATGGGAATTGGAGTGAACTATTTGCACATTGTCACAAGTAAAAAATTTTTTAAAAAGCCTGGGAGCGTGACACTGCTCCTATTTAGTCAAATGCACAGTTGACTGAATGTCACTTGAGCTTTTTAGCACCAGATGTGATTATAGATGAAAATGCTCCTGTTTATTGTGTGGGTTTTCACTCACATTGTTCATAGGACACTCTTTGTAATAATGATGATGCCTGCTTTCTGATTAATCTATGAACAATTTGTCTTCTGGAAACAGCAGGTGTTGTGATGCCTCTTTCTCTTCACCGAATATGGAAAAAAAATGGTGACAAAGCATTATGTTTAGAGCCTCATAAATTTGAATGTGAGTTCAGATTATGAACAAAATTTGTTTAAAATCACAAATTTCAACACCAGGATTGAAATGAAGAAGGTAAACAATTTTCCTACAGACTTTGGAAATGGAGCAGATGTCCAAGGGGTATTTGCCAGTTCAGTGAGGAGCTTGATTTTCCTAAGTTTGAAGTTGCAGCTATAAGTTTTGTCTAACCTTCCTGGCATAAATTTGTCACAACTTTTCCTCTCTGATGAGAAAATAATGCGTTCCTTGGCTCTCCTCTAGAAACTGTAATGCTAGTGATGTCTTTGTGACCTGCTCTTTCTGACTTTGTGAAGTCTTTGCTGTTAATGATAACTTGCCAGCTCCTTGATTTTGTGTCCACAGTCTGTATACACCTGTCATGTGCTGGAGGCAGTGAAGAGCTCAGGAATTAACCAAGTGGGACTTTTTCTACATTTTCTATCACTTCTCTGTCCTGCCATAGTTAGTACTTGGGCTCTTAATAATGCTTCTTTAAGTAAGTACCTACTTTTCTCTTTTTTCTCCCCAATCTTTTCATGCACTAGTTTTCTCAGTTTATTGATTTTTATGTTTGCTAAGTATTTTATTATCTAGTTTTATTCCTTTCTCTTTTTGGCATCAAATACAATTTTATTCTTCATTCTTTTGTTGCCTTTTTTATGTGTGTAACAAGGGGTTTCAAATAGTGACTTGTTTTGGAATTTTTTAGTGCTTTTCACTAACTTCTCCATAGAGACATACTTACTCCAAGTCTCCTTCATTTTTTTTTCCCCCAATGCATAATAGGAAATTAATCACTCGTGATGATAAACATCTTCTGTTCTTAGACTTCTGTGAATCTAAGCTCACTTACCAAATCTAAATGCATAACATGTAGCATTTTATTTGTTCTTGGCTGACATCTGTCTAACAGAATCATATAATTGTTAAGGTTGGAAATAACTTCTGAGAACATCAACTCCAACCATTAACCCAGCACCATCGTGGCCACAGCTGAACTGTGCTCCTCTGTGACACATTTACATGTTTTTGAACACATCCAGGGATGGTGATTTCACCACTTCCTTGGGCAGCCTGTTACAATGCCTGACCAGCTTCTCAGTGAAGAAACTTTTCTGAGTATTTAATACACTCTGCAGCACCGGTGAGGAAGAGCAGTGAGAAAAATGTGAGTGGAACAGCTCTGCAGACACCAAGGTCAGTGGAGAAGGAGGGCAGGAGGTGCTCCTGGTACGAAAGCTGGTATTCCCCTGCAGCCCATGGTGAGACCACGGTGAGACAGATGTGCCCCTGCAGCCCATGGGAGGAGCAGATTTCCACCTGCAGCTCATGGGGATTCCATCCTGGAGTACACTTCTGGCAGGAGCTGTGACCCTGGAGAGGGATCTGAGCAGGAATGGGTTTTCTGGCAGAAATAACACTGGAGCAGTCTGTTTCTGAAGGACTGCATGCCATGGAAAGGACCCACACTGGAGCAGCCTGTGAAGGACTCTATCCCATGGTAAGGAACTTCTGGAACAGAGGAACTGAGTGAAGAAGGAGTGGTGGAGGTGAAGAGCTACGAAATGACCCCCAAACCCCATTCCCCACCCCATTGCACTTCTGGGGTTGGGGAATATGAGGTAAATCTGTGAAGAAGAGGGAGTGAGAGCAAAGGTGGTTTCAATTTTGTTTGTTTGTCATTATTCTACTCTGTTATTAATTGCTAATAAAAGAAATTAACTTCCCCGAGTCAAGTCTGCTTTGCCCATGACACTAACCAGTGATCTCTCTGTTCTTATCTTCACCCATGAACTTTTCCATCATATTTTCTCCCCCTGTTGTGCTGAGGAGGGGGAGTGAGAGAGTGTCTGGCTGGGCACTGTCAGGTGGCAGCCAGCCAAGGTCAATGCACCAGGCAAGGCTTGGTCACCAGCAGAGCTATAATAGGAAAGAGGATGCTGTAAACA